TATGGTTGTAGTTGCATCTTTATCAAATTATGTTGGTTGTTGTTACATTTTGTGTCTTGTTCCTGTGTTCTTTCTTGAAAAACATATCATAGATAATCTTAAATTCAAGTGACAGAAGGTGATGAAGTTTAAGAAATGAAAACATCCAACCAAAAGAAGATCATCCTACAGAATTTTAAAACTGAAAAGTACAATACAAGAAGATAATGAAATGATAGAGCTTAAGAGTCTTGAGGTTGTTGTTGAGAGCCTTGTGAATCCTGATCAGACATAGTAGTAGACCCCCATACCTCAAATACACGACCAGAGTAAGGACCAATATAGCAACCAGACTCTCTTGGAACAGGAGGCTCACACTGACGTCCACGGCCTCGACCACGCCCTCTCCCTCGTCCCCGGGTACGGCCTCGGCCTCTAGCAGTTGCAGCATTTGAAGGCTGTGGAGCAGTTGAAGGTTGTGGATCAACACAAGGTTGTGTGCTGATCGGATTAGGTGTGGATTGGCTTTGAGCATTCCTCCTCCTCTTCGGTGCATTTTGAATGCTCCAAGGATCATCCTTATTAAGAAAATCATATATTAAATTACATACACATCAACAAACAAAGAATATATGCAAATCAAAGTGTAACTTACCGGAGTCTTTTTTGGCCGGCCTCTTTTGCGTTTAGGAAGTTCAGGAGCAGGTGGTAGAGTACAAGTTCCACAGTTATGACCTGTTTGCTTACAGTTGCTACATGTCATCCTTCTTCCATCTCTTGTAACCTTTGTTGGATTTGTCTTTGACTCATGTGCCTCCTTGATCCTATCATAATTTTTTGGACGTCCTGACATTCTTCTTTTCTCAGGTATTTCTATAGGTTCTTTACCTGTCTTCTCCCACAATCTCTCTCCGTTGACAGGTTTTATGTTGGTTTTGTAGGTGTCTTGCCATCTTGAAGTCAGATAGTAAGGATCAACAAAGCTACAAAATACAAAGAGAGTGAGAGAATTAGAACCTAGAAAATATTAAGATATGAGAGGAGAGTATGGCGCTTACTCTTCAGGGTCTTTATTATGTTCATTGATGACATAAATAGCATGTTGGCAAGGTATCCCGGTGATGTCCCATTGATTACAAGCACAATGCTTTTCGGGAAGACACACCACATAGTTACAGTCAAACTCAGTGACTTCATACAAGCTTTCACTACTTTTAATAACAGTGCAGTGGTTACTTGCTTTGCGGTTTTGCTCAAAAATCTCCATGATGTTCGGTGGAAACCGAGTCGAACAGCCACTGGTTTTCTCACGCCTTCGAGAGTTACACTTCATTGCAAGTCTCCTAATTTCCTCAAGCATGTTAATCAGTGGCAACTTACGAGCATCTTTGATTGTTTTGTTGAAGCTTTCTGAGAGGTTGTTACACACATCCTCACATCGTGCATGTGGCCTGAAAAAAGCTCTACACCATGTCTTCGGTTCTGTTTTCAACAAGTCCTCATGTGCCTTTGCGTCGAACACATCTAAAGCGTGTAAGTTGAACTGATAATCACCACTAGAGAAGCTGTATGCAATTGCCCAGAAATAATCTTCATACTCTGACGCACCATAAACCTTCCTCCAATTTGCATAAATGTGTCTAGCACAATGTCTATGCTCTGCCTCAGGTAGAATATCTGCAACAGCATTTATCAAACCTTTCTGTTTGTCAGAGATTATTGTGAATCCATCTCCTAACCCCAAATCCAAATCAGTCTTCAACTTATCAACAAACCAAGCCCAAGACGCATTATCTTCCACTCTAACTATTGCCCACGCTATAGGATAAATCCTATTATCCGCATCTCGTCCAACAGCTGCAAGAATCTCACCCTTTAACTCCCATTTCATAAATGCTCCATCAAGTCCTATAATAGGCCGGCAACAATTCTTCCATGTGTTCCTAAGACTCTCAAAACAAATGTAGAAGCTATCAAAGACAACCTTACCATCGTCACGAGGAATAGTCACAATCTCAGTCTTTGTATTCTCATTAGAACGCTGAAGCTCTCTCTCATAATCCCACAGTTTGGCGAATTGTTCTCGCTGAGTTTGTATTACCAAGTCCAGAGCCATTCTTCTTGCTTTCGTGCATATCCACTTAGACACTGAGAGACTATACCTCATCATTATCTCATCCTTGATGTCAGTCCACTTAATACCAGGCCTTCTTCTTGCTTCATCCTTGTACAACCTTGCAATTGTACCCTGCTTCAACATCCTTGCTTTGCTACTCTTTAGATGATTATGTCCATCAACATAAGATTTCACCATCCACTTCCTCTTTGGCTTCTCAACTGCGCAATAAATCTTCCACTTGCAATTTTCGTGAGTGCAAATGGCTCCCAACTTTGTTTTCTCCCATCTACACAACTTCACATCATAATTTGTCTTCAAAACATACCGTAACAGCTGATCTTTGAACTCTTCTCCACTCTTGAATGTTTGCATTAACCACAGGTAAGGAGGCTTCTCATTGCTGTAGCTTGTTCTTGAAATGTGCGTTTCTTGTCGATTAAAATCTTCCCATTCATCGTCAGTGTCAACAGCAGGAGTTGGACGAGGATCATCCCTTAACTGTCTCTCATTTTCTTCATCTTCATTATCATTTGCTCCACCTCTAACTTCCTCATCACCATTAGTTTCACATTGCACTTCCTCATCACCATTATCCCCAAAGAGTGGCTGAAATGGAATATCATCTCCTCCATCTTCGATGATTTCTTCCTCTATCTCATCAACATCATTTGACTGTTCTCTGTTGCTCTGACCTTGATCATCTATGTCATCTTCACCTTTATCTTCTTCACCTCTTTCTTCTTCGTCTCTGTTGCTCTGACCTTGATCACGTCTCTCTTCTTCGTCTCTGCCTTCATCACGTCTGTCTTCTTCCTCTCTGTTTTCTTCACATCTGTTTTCGTCACCGTCTTTTTCTACCACATTCTGCTCAACATAAATATCAACCCCACCTCCACCTAGTTTCAGAGCTTCAGTACACATCTGACAAATAACCGCATCTGAAGTGAGTTCTGAAATTGCTTTCACCGAATCCATACTTTCTTGAGGAAGCTTGTACCAAACATGTTTCACAGAGCCACTAAACCCATTGTCTTCACAAAACCCTTCAAACATCGACCATGTCATGTAATCCGGATCAATTGAAATATCCTTGTTGACAAATCCTCCCCGATAAAAAAAGCTGTCATCTTTACTCTCCATGGTGCCTCCATAGTGTAGAGAAATCTTCATCAACCCTTGTTCACTAAAATTAAATTGAAGAATTAGAATAAAAAACAAAGTGAAATCGACATGAAGAAGAAGAAGAACACATAAGAGAATCAAAAACGAAGAGAATCAAAAACGAAGTGAAATCGAAACGAAGTGAATCACCTCATCTTCTTTATCTCTCTGATAACATGGAGATCGAAGTGAATTTACAGCGCCAGAAGAGAAGAACAAATTAAGGTATTTGGGGTGAATCAATTTGGGGATTTTAAGAAATTAGGGTTTGTTTAGAATCGATTTGGGGATTTTAGGAAATTAGGGTTTGTTTTTAAACGATTTGGGGCTTTTTGTTAAGGAAACCCGAGCATTTAACGGTTCAATCACGTGTGTAATAAAAACGTTAACGTCGGTTTAATTTTCTGTTAAACAGAGTTAACTCTGTTAAATTTGAGGTGTGAAACCTACGAAATTTAAAACTTGATGTATTTTTTGGGTAACAAAATCTAGTATGTGTATTAATTGGGGAGTCTAAAAAGTTCGTGTATTATTCTAGCAAATGTAATTCAGTCCGTGTATTTTTAAGGAATTTTCCCTTCTTACAATATGAGCTAGTGAAGTAAACTATCATTTTTCATCCGAGAAAAGAAAGTAATATATCATTTTCATAAACATGTGATTGTATAAACAAACTCATATCTCAACTAGACATTTTTTACTGATGATCTCTTAGACTCATACATATATTGTACATACCTTTTGCTTTATTGGACATAAATATACACTCGAAAGAATCAAACCCAAACCAAAAAAAAAGAAAAGAAGAAGAAACATAGAGCATTCACACAGAAGTATAAAAATAGTAGTACTATACTTTTTGCTTAAAATTCTATGCGCTTGTTGCACATTCACGAGGGATTCCCTGTGGGAACCTCTTACGGTCAGTACAATAATTGTAGATCATGTAGAAACTTATGTTTGGGGTAATAAACGTCCATGCCTACTTTTGGTAGTTCAACTATAAATGAAATTTTAAGGAAGTGGGGATATATATGAGTTACAATCGTTAAGAGTCTTTAACTTAATTTTAGATTATCTGTTGTACATCTAAGTAAAGTGGTCTTTGATGCAGGCCTGGTCCAAAAACAAAGGCTGGAAACCCAAAAATAAAAAAAGGCCGCCAAGTGGTGTTGAATTTGTCATCTTAGGGTGAGTTAACAGCTAGTTTGACCATTTTATCTACTTGCACACTTTAGAAATAGGCCGAAACATTGTTTATTTTATCAAGGACCGGAACCGAATGCTTCTAATGCTTATGTCCTGGGCCAGTCTGCTTTGATGACAAAGTGATAGTTGGAGAAATCTTTATTGATTGTAAAACTTCTTTGATGATTTTTTGAATATACAGAATACTGAGTTTCATATACTACATTTCCAATTAACTGCATTTAAATAAGAGGCATTTACAGTTAATAGGTTTCTCATATTTCGTACAATATGACTAAAGTAAACTATCTTTTTCATCTGGAAAAATATAAAGAACTATCATTTTCATAAACATATTTCTTTTACAAACAAACACAGACATCTCTTACATATATAATCTTTAAGTATACACACCTTTTGTTTTATTAGACAGAGATATATATAAACAAACCAAGTAACAAAAGAAGAAACATAGAGCATTCACACAGAAGTATAAAATAACGTAAGCATTCCACACAGAAGTATAAAATATTGACTATATAATAAAAATATTCTATGCGCTTGTTGCACATTCAGGAGGGATTCCCTGTGGGAACTTCTTAGCGTCCGTACAGTAATTATAGATCATGTAATTCTTCTGAGCCCATTCGAGTCTAGCATGGCTCTCCGCATCTATTTGTTGAGTGTACCAACTAGAGCTTGGTTCGGTAGTGCTACAGGACGATCCTCCGTTAATATGGACACATCCATCGATCTTAATGTTCATGAAAGAAGCCGTGAATGGAGCTCCGGACCAATCTGTTTTAACCAGACCACCTCTTGTTGCCCAATCTTCACCGTTCCATAATTCCACGTACATCCTCATCGGCTTGCTGCTTGGAAACAAAACACCGAGTGATTCAGAGTTCTTGAACTCTCTAATCGGTGTACCATCGACTGTTAATCTGAGCAAAAGAAAAAATTAAGGATGAGGAAAAAAAATCTTAAACCCTAATCAGGGTTTAACAGAATTTACTTGTGAAGCAAGAAAGTGAGATTTTTTTGACTTTACATGATTCTTTGAGGGTTCCAAATTATGGAGTAGGTGTGGTAATCAGCTGATGGGTCGAACCAGAGATTGAACTGTTGCTCTTTGTAACCTTTACCTTGAGTGTAAACATTAGTGTGTAGAGTATAAGGATCTCCACTCGAATTACCCAAGAACTCAAAAAGTATCTCATCCCAAGTCGATCCTTCCGATTGCAGCTGAAAGTATACATATTCAGTCACCAAGACTATAACAGTTTTAAAGTTTAGTAGTAATGGATGGATTTAAGGGAAAAAAAAATGTAATAATTATCAATCCATATCTCATGAAAAGCCCATGTTGAGTAACTTACGTAGAAAGTTTCTTTTTTTTTTTTTTGTGTGGTAAATGTTAAATACTTACCTTGAAAGTTGTGACTATTCCTGCGGAGTTACCGGAAACGAGCTTGATTTGCAAATCTAACTTTCCAAACAAATACTCATTTTTTGACTGAAAACCAGAACCAGAGGATTTGTCTAAAGAGAGAGTAAGAAGCTGTCCGTTGTTGTGTATCTTCCCACGGCCGTCTCCCCATGCTATGTCGACGTCGCTGATGAAATCAGCGGTGGAGAATGAAAACACCGCCGTGAGAAGAGCCGCAAAGAAGAATATTTTGAAAGAAGACATTGTTGTGTACGTTGTACGTGTGGGAGTGTGTTATTTGGTTTGGTGAGGAATGTGCGGAAGAAAAAAAGAAGGAAGCGAGCTATATATAGTGGGGAGGAGGAGAATAAGAGGAGTGTAATTTAAATTAATAAGAAGAGAGAAGGGGTGAACAAAATAAAGCTAATGTTAAGACATTGCATGTCTAGCCATGTCTTCTTCATATATTTTTCCTTGTAATATTTTGAGTTTTTGTGATCTCAGAGTTTGGTATGTACACAATTACTAGGTCGTACATAACAACTCAATCCATATTTCTGAGATAAAACAACTTGAGTTGGCTCGTTTCGAACTTCTTTTTAAAGGCATTTAACATCTAACTTATCTATCTATCAAGTGATTTCTGGTGCTATGAACAGCTATAAACATTGAAAAATAAATATATTAGAAAATTATTAACATTTTCATTTTAATTTAAATTATTTTGTAATTTATATGAATGATTTATTTTAAATAATATTATGTTTAACTATACATGTAATTTGGATATATAATATCTACTCGGTTTGATTATTACTTAGGTGTGTTGGATTGCATTTACTTCTCCAAATTTAATCATAGTATGTTTTTTTGCTGAAATAAATTAAGATCATAATTATTGTTTTTTTTTTGCAAGACTCTCGATTAGGTTATAAGAATTTAGATTATTTAAATTACTCATTTTTTGAGTTATATAACTTATATTGAGTCACACATATTTCTCCAAATCTAAGTATAACTACTTTGATTCTATTTAAACTAAATTTGATTAGTTTATTTAGTGCATTAGTTCAGTTCTTCATCTTAAACATGTATATTTAATTTCATTTTTTGTATAATTTGATACTTAATGATTTGTAAGAATAGAAGAAAAACTGAAGTGATGATAAGTACAAAGTTTTATAAATGGACATCACTGATAACAAATTTATAACTCATGAACATATTAAATATTAATATATATATATATATATATATATATATATATTTACTTTTGTAAATTATAAGTAACTCTATACGTTAGCGTAAACAATAGATGTAACTCTATACAATACATGTAAATATTCTAAATAATCTTAAGCATAAAAATTTATGTTGGTTCATGTATTCTTATCATGGGTATGTTATGTTGTATAAACATAAAATAGAATAAAATATATATATTAACCCCAAAAGAATTTCTAGTGGTATCAAGGTTGGGTGAAGGTTTATAGAAAATGTAAATAAAAAATCTTAACAAAAAGAAACTATGCAAAATGAATAAACATCTCAGTTAGTAGCAATTAAAAAAAATCCATCAAAGATATTTTAGCAGATGTTATGTAAATTACTTTTGTGTTATCTGGAAAAATGATTGATATAAAGAAAATATTTTTATTAATTATAAAATATATGTTATGTTGTTTATTATTATGTTTTAAAGAGATGATTATTTTTTTAGCATCAAAACTGTATTTTTTGTTAGAACTTTCTTTTTATGACATTACATTATATATAAATATATTTTCATTCTCATATATTTCACAAAATATGGTTTCTTTCTTTTTAATACATTTTCGTTTGTAATATATGAATATTTCCTTTTTCTTTTTATGTTAAAAATAAAACTAAAATTAAAAATAAAATTGACATCAATTAATAATATTTTTAATAATGATAATTAAATATAATAATGTAATTCATTAAGGATACCGTTGTATTTAACCATCATAAAAATAAACGTGAGTGCGACATGTAGAAAATTAACTTCTCAAATAATATTATGGAGATTTTATAGAACTGAAGTATAAAAATACTAAAAGTCTAATTAGGATTAATGCTATTAAAAACTAATTATCTTAATTTTATCATTAATTTAATTTTAACAAAATATTCTTTAAAAATACAATCAATTAATTTTATGTATGGTCAACTAAAATAAATAATATGATATAAAATAAAAATAAATATTTTTTTTACCATTTCGTAATTATTAGAAACTATCATTTTTTTGTAATCCATTTATATTATATATAATAATTATTTACAAAAATTTAAATATTAATAAATATGATTAGTATAAAATTGACTTAAAAACCAATAATCAAATAATTAATTTCTTATTATATTACTAATTATATACGTTAAAATCGAGGATACAAAACAAGATTCAATGATATATTAAAATATAAAATAAAATAAAATAATTTTTAATACAATATTTATGTACAATAAAAATATACTTTGTTTTAAATAGTTAAAAACAAATATATGTACGTGTGTGGGGCCTAAAATCTAGTAAGCTTTTATGAGATTTACATATTTTGGAAACTAGATGTTTTTATGCACCATGTGCAATAATATAAATTTGAAATTTAAATATATATTTTTAAAAAAATCTGTTAATATTCTAGATTTTAATATTTTCTATCTGTATTTTAATATAAAGTTTAATTTGGCTAAACATATAATTACGATAAAATAAAATTTTGATTTATTTCATATTATATTAAGAATTATATATATGTATATATATATATTTAAAATTCTAATATTATATAGATTTTCATTTATTTCTTCTGGTTATGATATACTAAATCAATTTGTATAATTTTTTTAAATATCAGAAGTAAAAAAAGAGTGTTACAATTAAATTTTTATGTTTTAAAAGTGAAAATTCTATAAAGTTTTGAAAATCTTGTTTAGTAATAAAATTTGTAGGATTATAAAAATTGACTAAAAAATATTCCAAAATTTATAAAATATTTATATTTATACATTATTTAATATCATACTGGATATATTTATTTTAATAATAATTATGAGTTATTTTTTCTATCCTAAATTTTTTTAACAAAAATAGAAATTAACATTTAATGTAATTGTGAGACCTATTTGGCCTTAAATTATGTCATCAAATTTAGTATATCATGTCTCATTTTTAATGAAAATGATTTTATAAATGATATGTGTCAGATCACTTCTCAAAATAATGTTATTATAGTTACTAATCTTATCACATTTCTTAGTTTATTGAGTATTAGTTTATAGATTTTCTAAATTATTATCTACAGTTAATACTTTACTCGTGGTACAAGTATGTATCCAATATTTAAACAAACACAATCTAATAATGCATAAATTATTCCTGAACCCTAGAGTACCACTAATTATTTTTGATGTATTCTATAACCGACAAACGAAATATTCATAATTTTTATGTCAACAAATATTCTATTTGCTCATGGAATTTCATTATTAATAAACAATCCTTTCTAGATAAAATTTTCAATATTATATCGATCTGTTTTTTTTTCCAAAAGAAAATCAAAATATTCCCTGATTCAAACTCCAAAATTTCACAATATCCATATTATTAAAGTAGATGTTAATTATAATCACATACCCCTACATCTATTGGTGTTCCTATTACTCTATTCAGGATAACATTCCCAACTCACAAAAAGAATGTCCACCAACAAATATCTATATCTTAGACCTTAGATCATGATTAAAAATTCCCGGTCTCTTAACTGGGATTCTTAATTTCGAAATGAAAAAATTAAGAATCGTCGTTATAAGATCCGTCTTTTAGCCAAAAGTATAAAAAAGTCAAATCATGAGTTAAGAATCTCGGCTAAAGAACCAGAGTTAATCATACCGTTTTACTTTTTAATGATGTAAAATTTCCTTCTACCAAGACACATAAATAATAATGCTATAGATTTTACACATCCAAATTTTCTTATCTGTTTTTTTATGTACTATAAACCAAATTTGTAATTGTTGAAAATTTATATATAATAATATTATAAATTATTTCAAAGCTAATTAAAATTCATAATTTATTTTTATTTTCGTTAAACATTTAAATATGAAAAATTGTATAGCTTATATAGTTTTGTATATTTATGCATATATATATATATACAAAATATAGTTTACTAATCCACTATTATCACATAAAAAACTAGTACCAAATGTTGAAAATATATTCTACAAGAATATTTATAAAGTGATTTTAAAGGTAATATAGATTTTTTAATTAATTTAAATATATGATCGTAATTTACAGTTAGAATATACACGCAAATATTCGACAATTTTTTAATACACACATGCAGTAAGACAAATATATAACAAGAACCCACTAACAAGGTATATGATAGTGAACAATGAACTAAAGTGATGCATGCATATTATATAATTTTATGTGTGTTTAAAAGTATGTATTAAAACACACAAAGGATTTAATATGTGTAAATGTTAAACGATTTAAAATACCAATTATATAAACAAATAATAAAGGATTTAAAATTAATATAAATACCCGGATGCTCATGTTAAATTATAGTTTTAGTTTCTATTGTTTATACATTTTTCTTCTGGCATGGTATCATAAACAAATTGAATGTCAAAATATTCATATGATAGAACCACCACTTAAATATTGTTAGATAGCTAGCATGATGAATCAGTGATAGTAGGTTATTACATTGACATGATCTGAGGTAAGTACAAAAGAAAGGTTGGATTTAAATAGTAGGTTGAGTTTTGAGCAAGTATTAGTATGGATGGACCATACGAATTAAGATAGGATAGCTACGAAATTAAAACGAATACTATTACTAGAAGTTGAAGTTATATTACATATGAACATGATTTATTGGATGAATTTTCTTTGACACGGAAATTTTGATTTGGACCGCCTAACCAAACGTCAACTTGGTCCTACAAAGCTCTACAGCTGTACCATTGTGAGAATAGTTTCCAAGTGTAAATGTGAAATGTCTTAAACATACTATTAACCAGAGGCCTAAACTCACTCTTAATTCAGCGCAACCATATAAAGTATAAACTCAATCATTAACCAATAACGATAAAATTTTAGAAATGTAACAATCATTACAAATTCATATCTTACTAATTAACACCCCTATAAATATAATGTGTATTCATAAGATTTTGAAATCTGCACTAAAAGCACACACAGACAAACTCATAAT